GGCAATACATGTGTTCGTGTAAGTCAGCAAAATGACGACTTACAGCACAAGTCGGCATTCGAGTAAGTCGTCATAATTTCTTGAGTCCCAAGAGTGCTGACTTAGCCGGAGTTTACTGAAGTTTCGAGATTTAGCTTCAGTTGCCACATAAGAATAGCTCATTATATGTGCATATAATTTCAGGTGGCAACCATTTCAGCCAATGGGGACCAAGCCATTGGTGACTTGATATCCCAAGCCATGAAACGTGTGGGTCGTGATGGAGTTATCACTGTCAAAGATGGCAAGACACTTCATGATGAACTAGAAGTGATAGAAGGGCTCAAGTTTGACCGAGGCTATATCTCACCCTACTTCATCAACTCTCCCAAAGGTGAGAATCTGTACATTTGGTCCTAGAACAAGATAGACAAGCTATGCCCTCTACAATACTTGGCATCAGGTCTAGGCTAATTCTATCGAAATTCAAGTATGAGTGTGAAACACATCAAAATAAAAAAAAAGTAATTTATAAGTACAGTATTCACTGCAAGATAAAACAGTCCTTCCAACACTAAGTGTTGCGATTCGAAAAGAAGACAATTAGTGTTGTGTATGTGCATGAGAATTCAAAGTCATTAGTGAAACAGTGCACCATGTTATAAATGGAAATAATTTCTTAATGTCCTTTTACCAGAACAGCCATGCTTGTATTATCTTAAAATTACAGAAAATGTTTTGCAGTTCCCAAGCCTTAATTAACCCTCGACCATTTTCAGAGTTGAAACACTGGCAAGTTCATGCTCACTAAAGGTAGCACATGATATCCTTTCACTCAAAAAATAATCAGAAAAAAATAACCATGAGAAAAAAGTGAACTTTGGCTTTTCCATGTGACAAAAATTTGTCAAAATAATTCAAGGTATTTAGACACTCCTCACTGATGAGATGAAATAGGTTGTAACAGATAACATGAACTTGACTCAACATTGCAGGCCAGAAGGTGCACTTTGAAGATGCCCTCCTCCTCCTGAGTGAGAAGAAGATCTCCAGTGTCCAGTCCATTGTACCTGCTCTTGAGCTAGCTAATGCTCAGAGGAGGCCATTAATTATCATTGCTGAAGACATTGACGGGGAAGCACTTAGCACGCTGGTTCTAAACAGGTAAAATGGCTGACTTAAAGAGGCTTAGGTTTTCAAGAATGACTGTCAGTGCCCCTTCTTGTGTGTGCTCGGAATGTCCATTTCACCTGAGGATGACGTATTTGATCCTAGAGTGAAACATTGGTTAATTATTTGGAACCATTTTGCAAGGCAAAGCATCTTTGCTTTTATTATAACCAATAATTCTTAACCAGTTCATGCTTGGTGATGTGTAAACAGGCAGGGATAGCCCTCTGTGCCCAGTTTTACAAAGGGAATTTAAATACACCTTGGCAACCTGTGCATGAAGTAGCAGATACAATCAATATTCCTCCCTGCAATTGAGTGATTCCCATTGTTTTTGTGCACCCACACAGTCTGACACAGTCTGTGTGGAAGGTGAGTGAGTGTGGAGCCCAGATGTACCATAGCTGGGCACTGTAGCAGATACTGCTCTCTGACACTGTCTCAGAGTGTTCAAATAAAGACAGTGATGGAGTAAAGAATGTTACCTGATTTTTGGACTAAATTACCACTGAAGGTCGGTCTTTGTAAACTACAACTTTGCAAAGGACTGTGGTTATGATATCATGTACACCCTCAATGGGACACGTTGAAAGGAAATTAGCCCTCTTGCAACTGGTGAAATCACTGGATGTCTGTGTGTACTTTCAGGTTGAAGGTTGGCTTGCAGGTAGTGGCAGTCAAGGCCCCAGGCTTTGGAGACAATAGGAAAAACCAGCTGCATGACATGGCTGTTGCCACTGGAGGACTGGTGGGTACTGCAACCATTACCAACCAATAAACAAGTCCATTGTTGACTCTCACAAGTGTTTTTGCTAGGATGCAACTTCATTCTTTCGAAATCCCTACATCTATTCCTTATGTGCTCATTGGAGGGATGGCCACTATATTAATCCTTCAAAATCCTCTAGCAATTCCCATCATTGTATGGAAGCTATACAAATGATATCCTTGAGCAGTGTGGATTATTCCAAGTACAATGCAGGCCAAAATTTATGCATAATCAGCTTAAGGTGCAGCCAAGGAAAACCCAAAAATCAATGCGAGTGTTTGTACTTTTGCAAGCAAAAGAAAGGCCACACTCTTTCAACAGTACGTTTATTTCATCAGAAAAAGGGGGCAGGATACCCTTTTGGTTATTGATGTTCATTATGTGCAGCCATTTTTAGTCAAATCTGACTAAACATAGAAATACAGAAATTCATGTAATCACTAGCATAAAAACCAAAACGTAGTTAATACCTTTGAAAATAGAGAAACACAAGTTGGAGTCAGGCTAATTGAGATAGAAATGTACTCAAAATGTATTCGGAAATCCATTTCAGCTACCATTCTAACAACTTGAACATAAGGTTTGGCTTTCAAAACTAAATGCGAAAAAGTCAGTATTTCTTGTTTACTTGATAGAGGATTCTGTCAAGTGTCACGTCATAATCCTGTCGGCATCCACCTGATTAGTTAATATTTTGAGTGAACTGGCTTACACGACAGCATGTGTTCCTCAGAGGTTGTGCTGAATTTTGTTTTTGTCAGGTGTTTGGAGACGAAGCCATGGATGTCAAGATTGAAGATGTACAAATTCAGGATCTTGGTCAGATTGGTGAAATCACAGTCACTAAAGATGACACCCTAATACTCAAAGTGAGTACATTCAGACAACTTTCCAGTTTGTTGTGGACAGTAAGTTTAGTTTACAAGGATTTATCACCAAGTTTCATCCCCACATGACCAGAAGTAAGGTTTTTTATTGATGTATCCCTTTATCTCTGCAAACAGGGCAAAGGGGACCGAGAAGCCATCGAGCGCCGCATTAATCAAATCAAGGAAGACATTGAAAATACAACTTCAGAATATGAGAAAGAGAAATTTGGTGAGCGACTAGCCAAGCTTTCAGACGGAGTGGCTGTCTTGAAGGTATTTTTCGTGTCTAATGATTTAGAAAATAAATTATGGACTACTTTGATTTTGCCCTCTACGGACATACATGTATTTGTTTCGTGAGTTATTTGGAGTGTTTGTATGAGAACATGTCTGTTTTATTTGGATGGGATGCAAATCCACCTGAAGGTGTGCCAAAACCCGGGATGTGTTTTCGTCTCTTTGATGAAAAATGAATTAAAATATATGGTATTCCAAGATGTATTTTTTTGCGTTGGGGAGATGTTAATTTATATAACAGGTTTTGCCCTTACCCAACGTATATATTAATAAACACTGTATGCTCAGTGCTTGTCTGAGAGCTTGCAAAAAAATTCACAAGCTTACTCGGGTGGGACTCGAACCCACGACCTCCTGCGTACTAGTGCAGATGTCTTAACCACTGGACCACCGAACTTGCCGTGGTCAGCTGGCCGGTCCGAGTCGGGTGTAGCAGCGGGTACTGCGAACTGTTTCAAGATGTATTTTTGCGATGGGGAGATGTTTATATATATAACGGGTTTTATATAAATTAGGTCGTCGAGTGGTTAAGACATCTGCACTAGTAAGCAGGAGGTCATGGGTTCGAGTCCCACCCGAGTAAGCTTGTGAGTTTTTTTGCAAGCTCTCGGGCAAGCACTGAGCATAGAGTGCTTATTAATATACGTTTGGTAAGGGCAAAACCTGTTGTATATATATGGTATTCATTAGAGTATACGTTGATCTCATATTCTGCGCTGAGAAAAGTAATGTGTTGTTTTTATTTTTCTTTTAGTAAAATTGACTCATAATAATCATAAAATATTAGTCCAGCTGGGCAGTAACTGCATAGTTTTGTGTACTTCTTCTTTCGTGCCGAAATTGGGGCATTGTACCCGGTGCAGATGAAGTAGTAGATATAAGTAGATAATTACATTTGACAAACTTACCTTCATGTGATCTAAAGAAAAAATAAAAGGAATTTCACAAATGCACGGGAAAGAGTGGTTGACTGTAGACAACAGTACTCGGAAATTCCCCAGACTTACTTAGACTCAAAGACTTTTCCAAAAATTCCAAATACTATGTTATAGTGTACGCCTTGCTGTTTCAGATTGGTGGATCAAGTGACATTGAGGTGAATGAGAAGAAGGACCGTGTCAATGACGCATTGAACGCTACCAGAGCAGCTGTAGAGGAGGGCATCGTTCCTGGGGGTGGTGTGGCCCTGTTGAGATGTATACCAGCACTAGATAATGTCAAACCAGACAACAGTGACCAAGCAACAGGTAAGAAAGGATGGATGAATGCTCTAGAGATCTGAACGTGCTCTGTAGATATATCATGCATGAGTGGAATGCTGTAGTCTTAGGTTTTAGAATGCAGAATTTAAGATCTGTGGGTTGTTCATATAAGGAACTGAAATTCGACCTTCCTTCATCAAAAATGTGGAATGGGTACCTACATCAAGGGTGTAGGTAGTGTGCAATTTAATTAAACAGTAATTGTAGATGTTTTTTCCTTCCCGGGACTGAGATGGCCTCAATAGAGTCACCAGTTTCATCCACCTTTGCTCAATCATATAATATAGTAATAGTGTCTTGGAGTACGGAACACAGCCGACAACAGCATTGTTGTTCCAGCGTTAGTGGTATCTTCACAAAGATTCTGTGGAGGTTTGAAAGTATCTCAGTCACCTAAATGCTGGTGTAGGATTGAATGAAGTCAGATGTGGTGTTTTTATGTGTTTACAGGAGTGAACATTGTCCGCAAGGCACTACAGATGCCATGCTCTCAAATAGCAGCCAATTCAGGACTTGAAGGTGCACTGGTGGTTGCTAAACTGATGACATCTGAGACAGAGATAGGCTTTGATGCAATGAATGGCCAGTATGTAGACATGGTCAAGGCTGGTATTATTGACCCAACAAAGGTAAGGTGGAATGTATTCATCTTTGGCAAATTCACATCCTGGTTGCAGCACATCTTTCCAGACAGATGTTGTCACATGGTTAAATGGACTGTACATGAATGTCACAATTGATATGGACATGTTCTGGAAATGACCAAGTCAAAATGATATCACCCTGGTGCAGGGCCTCATTTAGTGATCTGTGTACCCCATTTTTGGGACAGGCATATGTGATTTTGGATGAGCACTTTGGAAAATTTAAACAGTTAAACATGATGGGCTGACAGACTTTTGAAAAATGGACAGTAAGAATGACAGATGGATTATTGGTGAAAATTTGTACTAAAAGCAACTTTATTGTATTTTTGTTTGTAAAGTGCAACCGGCCAATCATATTAATACCAGTCTGGTACTGATATCAAAATGGTGTGGTCTTACACCTGCAACCTTTTAGTCTGTTTGAATTATGCCAAAACGACTTACTTGGAAAAGAGTGCATACTGTGCTTCTAAAAGGAATTACTGTGTGTTCCCTTGATCAAAGTAATTAAGAGGACTTGGCTCCATTTCATGTGAGGTTGAAGCCAAATGCTAGGATATGGCAAAGCTGGAAATATGAATCAGGAAATCCAAAGTGCCTGTTCGACACAAAGTGAACGGGTATAGAATTTTTTCTGCATTCACACTGGAAATTTTGCTCATATCTAGCGAGGCTCAATAGCACGTTGGTACCCTTGATACCTTCAGTCCACATTGTAGGAAGCTTGTACATAGGTATATTCCACGAGCACTATGGTGACCGCACTCACTGAAGACCATGTTCTTTTTATTTCTTTCACCGACATAGGTTGTGAGGACAGCCTTAGTTGATGCAGCAGGTGTTGCGTCACTGTTAAGTACATCAGAAGCCATCGTCACTGAGATTCCTAAAGAAGACAAGATGCCAGACATGGGTGGCATGGGTGGTATGGGTGGCATGGGAGGCATGGGTGGTATGGGGATGTGAGCCATCGGTCACGAAACATTTAGGAGATATTTAAAAGGTCTGTGGTTTTACCTTATTTGTATAAATCAACTGTGGTCCTAGTTTGTCAGTATCTCTCGGGGAAACGTTGAAATGATTGGAATTCAATCAAATGTCTTAGGTTTATCCTGTGATATTTTCCACTGCAAAGTCACACATCATTTTTTGTATTCTGAATATGTAGCTTGCCTGATGGGATGTATTTGAAATGAACCCAATAATGCCATCAGTTTAGACAAGTTGTTCCCATGATCCTCAACACAGTAGCATGTGTACCCATATCCTAGGCTTGGTTTGCAGTTGTCAAAATGGAAAATAATTCTTGTTGATATTTCTACTCATGTATAAGAAAGTCATTTTAATGAGAATTTTTCTTTTACCGAGGATGGTTTGGTAAATTTCCCAAGTTTGTGATCCATTCTTTGATATTAAATTAATAGTAATGTGTAAAATGAGGCAGAAATGGGAAGAGCTTTAAAAGCTAAGTTTTCTCTTCCTATTCTTAGGTTGTGAGAAATTAAAAACAGCACAAGTCTCACAAATTTTGCTGGGGAAAAGATTTCGACAATGGTTCTTTGTGTTTCAGCTTCAATTTTTTAATATCACTTATCAATTACGATTGATCAAGGTTTCCACTCTAATTTGGTGTCAGAAAATGAAATGGATGGTGAACAAATGATATTGGTGTCATAATATTTTAGAAAGATGTTTGATTGACTTGTTGCCCAAGATGACCCAGATATCTGACATCTCTTACATTTTGCAAATTTCTTTTGCAGTCAGTTAGTGTAATCATCCAACAAATGGAAATTCAGCCACTTATTTTTGTTTATAGAAGCCATGATGCTTCACACTATGTGTCCTCAATAATGTATTGCTGAAAGATGAGATTAATTGTATTCATTTATTTGCACATTGGAAATACTGCAAGCCTTTTATATTGTAGTTTATGATGGTATTTTGAGTTTAATACCATTAATACCCTTAGAACACCTGATATCACATCCACCAGACTTGGTCACTTTTTGTCATTTGTAATAAATCCCACAAGAAAGCATTCTGTTCTCAGCATTGCTCTGATTTTTACATTGGATGTTATTTATTTCATTTTTGTTTGCGATGTTAATCTCGTTTCTATACTTTAATGTGCTCAACAAGATGGCCTGTGACCTGGGGAGTGACTTCCAGGGTAGTGCAAAGTGTATGCCAGTCCGTCCCCTACCTTCTTTTACCTTGAACGTCTGCCCTTTTAACACTTTTACGTATTGTGGTTTGTTTCACAGGTGACAGAAAAACAAAAGAAGCTGTATGCTCTATAGAAAGTGTTCTTGAAGATGCCAATCTGCACACATTATTTGCTTCCTTTTATTTGTGATGGAATTAGGGGCAAATCTGAATGTCCTGTCGCCACCAATTTTTTTGGGTGCCGACAAAATGTGAACTCAAAATGTTATTTAACTTGGCGTTTGAGACTTCATCCCTACTCCGAAAATGCCCCCAAACATGTTGGAGAGGGTGAAGAAAAGTTTGCAGGATTGCTGGACCATGTTGTTTTCTTTGGTTTTCTCCGAGTCCACAAAAATAAGTCTTCCTAATAATTGCATGGTTAAGAGTACACATCGCAGATGTATGGGTACTCGTACTCGCCTTTGTGTGTGAGTGAATCCATCCCTTGAACTAGAAACTCGCCTGTTTATCGACGCGTTCGTCGGGCGCGTGGTCGTGAACACGTAGTGGCGTAACTACGGGGGGCATGTGCCCCCCCCTTTGAAATTTTGAAATGGACAAAAAATATATATACCTTGTTCAATTATTTTCAGTGCCCCCTGAACAAAAATTGTGGACCCCCAGGTGTAGCACCCTAGTTACGCCACTGTGGAGACGACGAACCCCCTGGTCAATCTTTGCTCTTGATCTTGCTAAATAGTCGCTGATCTGAAGCAACGCTCAGCCAAGGAGAAGTGGACGGCTATTCATGAGTATTACGTTTAAAATTCCTCTTGGGAGCAGCTTGCATTGTAGACGTGCCAGGTAACTAAGCCCTTATTTCAAAACTTTCGGGGGGGGGGGCTTTGATTTAAATGACCTACGCAAAGAAAGGTAGTATCATATAGCATGCACCGCCGGCGGAGTACGCGTAGACGTAAACGGGAGATTGTTTGCAGGTCTTTCAATTGACACAGCGCCCTCAAGGGTGGCGTAGTTCTGAATCCGAAGGGCACGTGAACATATGCGAAGAAATTTCAACTCGAAATTCACGCTTGCAAGGTAAGAAGAACAAGTTACTTTTACAAAAGTTTTAGCACCTATGGAGACTACATGCGCTGCCGAGTTTAGAATTGTTTCTCTTCACGCTCGCCGTTGACTGAATAATTGCAAATTGGTGCGAAGATCAAGCCTGTACTAGTCTCTAGTGTGGGCCTAGGCCTACCCGGTAGTCTGTGCATGGTAGCTACATGTACATGTATGGTGTCTGTGTAAGAACTTAATAACATGTTTGTCATGCTTGTGGTATGTCCAACTAAACAAATGTTTAAAAACGTGATTTGTACTAATTGTTACGTGCTAGTGTCCAAGTTACTCGGACTACTACCGGCACTAGTTTAGTTACACCAGTTTTTCTTTCATTGTCCTCCATGCTATAGGGGCCTACCCCTAGAATACCCCCAGAATTGTGGGTCCGACGTCTGCTCCTCTCCTACCAACCCCACAGAAAAAGAGCCTTTTTTGCCATAGGCTATGCATGCATTTAACAGGGCATGCACAGGGATTCCATTCGAGTTTTGTACCCATAGAAATATTGCTTCATTTCCCCCAAGAGTTTTATGTAAGATAGCTTACAGTGTACGTACCATTGTCTTGAGTACCAAGAGAGAAAAGGGCCAAAACCGTGCCGTTTTCCAAAAAAAACATGCAAATATTTCCTGATTAGTGTCTGAGAGTCATGTGGTTCACATGTGTACTTGCAAAGACGAGCCGCGACCAAATGGTTGACTACGGCTGTGATCGATACACAAGACATGAAAATTGGCTACAGCCACTTTCCGTATGTGTGTGTGCAATTCTTAGCCGTGCTGGTTAAATGGCAGTTGACTGCAGCGCACTGGGGGCCACACTGACCAATCACAGGGCTCCTCATTATTTATGTCCAAATTGAAGGAAGACAAGTAACGGCTGTTGGGTGCACAAAGCCGCTCAACAAGAAGTGTTCACTGTGCGACAGCGTGCTCATGTGCACTGGTACCCAACAGCTGTCAGACCCGAGGGAGGTTTGTGGGAGTGGAGCGGACATTAGACCCCACAGTTCTAGGGGTAGCTTACACATACTGCCAACAATACATTGGCACCCTTGCTAATAATGTACTGTCTTGTAGCCTATTTTGGCAATTTCATGGATTTTAATATTTTTGGGACTTACATATTGTTGGCCAGCAAGAACACTGACTGGAATGGAGAAAGGATGCTGGGCATTGTGGGGGGGGAGACAAGATGAACTATTTTATTTAGGCTTCGTAAAAAAAATTGGTAATCATCCCCACCCAATCCTCCAAATGCCTCTGACCCTTTTTTTTATTTTTCAGTTTCCCAAAATACAGTGGAAAATGTAAAAAAAGTGCCGAAGAATTTCACGAGAAACAATCCCAAGCTTACCGTTTAGTCTGAGAATTCGTGCAAGACTAGTTCATTCTCCATCGGAGGCTGTTCCATCTATTGGACATGTGCGCTAGGAAAGGGCAAAGCTCCAAGAAAAGATGGTAAATGGAATGGCACCACTGACCAATCAGACACGGCCATATCCGAATTATTGGCTGCGGCTGTGAACTGCATGCGCAAACACGCAGTCCAGCCTTGTTAACAAGAGAACTGTTAATACAGTACAAGATTCTGCTGACATGTTTAGGAAATTTTTGGTCACATTTATTTGTTTTTCACTGGTTTTTATTCCTAATATAAATTCCACAAGGTAATAGACCTCTTAACAACAGGGTTCCTTGGTACTAGCATCCTGCATAAACGTG